CAAGTAGCACCTGGGCGGACTGGCGGATAGGGAACTCGCAGTCTGAGTACCCCTCAGTCTGCTGTAGGGCCCCAAAAGGAAAGGTCTCGTTCCTTGGAGATGCCTCCGTGTGATGGCTAAGTTGTCTTTCTGGGCACACACGGGTAGGGAGGGGGAAGGAGAGAATTTAGCAGTATGGTGTCTGCCGCTAGGTTCGGTGCGCCCAGGGAGGTGCCCTGAAGGGGCTGGGAGCCCGGCACTGAGTCCGCAAGAGGCCACTGCTCACTGGCGGCAGCCGTCTCTGGGCTGGTGTCGGCAGGTCTCTCCAGCCGCTCAGGAGCCACCAGCAGTCTGAGATGCAAGGGAGGGGGAAGTTAACCGCTCCACCTACCCTTGTCGCTGGTCTCCAAGCCTCTCGGGACCTTTCTCCTTCCAGTTCTCCTCCGCAACGTCTTCCCGTGGAGTCTCCTGTAGTTTCAGGCACCCTTCCTTCTGACCCTCACCCGATCTATGTTTCTCTGCTCGCTTATTTTTTTTCTCTTTCTTCGAAAATTCGTCTTTTTTGCAGAGACCTTCTGACTGACTGTCTCATCCGCCATCTTGGCTCCTCCTTCGTATTTAAAATTTTAAATGGAAAAATATCAATCTTTACCTTATTGATTTCTGTATTTGGTATCATGCTTAGAAATACTTCTATGTTTGAAAGCTTATTAAAATATTTACCTATAGGTTTCAAGGATTTTAATTGTCTTATTTTTATATTCAAATATTTTATTAATATGGAGCCCCACGTTATAGACAATTTGGAAAATAGCTAAAATTAAGGAAAAAACATTTCTAATTCTATCACTGAACACAATGCCAATATACATATTGACATATTTTCTGCCATGTGTTTTTCTACGCCTTTATTTTTTGTATAGCTGTAATGTTAGTGTATGCCATTTCATATGTTCATTGTGTCGTCAGCATTTTTTATGTTGCTACATAATCTTCACAATCACATTTTAATGACTGAATTATATTTCATCAAATGAATATGTTGCAGTTACATTACTTTTATATTATTAAGCATTTTAGTTATTTTTTTCTTCAACAGAATATATGAAACAATTATCAGGTAGGGCATTTTCATAGGATATTAACTTTGCCCACTTGCACATGACTCCGTAAGAGCAAGATGCGGGTGAGGCCTTCTGACTCTACATGACATTGCATCTCTCTCCAAGCCCACTCTAGTACATTCAGTAAAATCCTATCTGTCAAAACATAGAAAATAAAACATCATTCTTAGTAGCTCAGTCCATTTCTTACTACTCACGTAGGTATAGATAGAAAGACTTTTAAAAATAACTTATTTATATTTTTTGGTGTGCATCAACAAGACATCCCAATTATTTTCTAATTGTTATTTGTGCTTGTTTATTTTTAGGAAAGTTACTGTTCAAATCAAATACATCATAATGCAGAATTCTTTATCAGTACCACCAAAAGATCAAGGTAAGATAAGCTATCTGACGAAAATGGTAGTGTGTATGATATATATAATTTTAATTGATACATTCCATGTCACTGCCCTCTAATCAGAAGGTGACTTATTTCCTAGAATTAAAAGAAAATTATATATGAAATTTCATTTCCTTTGGTAAATTACTTGATTGTACATGGATTCCTAAGTTATAAGGACGTCTCCTTTACTAGGCTAATAGCTCCTTGAGGGCAGGGCCATCTCATTCCACCCAAAACTCACAGAAGCCAGCCTATTAGCTGGCAGTTAGCTAATCTAATATATGTCAGTGGAATTACGAAATATTGACTTTACTGAAGCAAAATGACACAGGTATTTTAGTAAGTACAAGAATATATACATTTATATTTATACATGCATATGCACACATCTGTGTAGAAAGAGAGGATGCAAACAGTATTTGCTTATACATTTCTTTGACCTGTTTCTTCCCATAACCATTTAAAAAGAAATAGAAAAATCATTTCCCCTCTGTACCACTTATAAAAAATAAAATTATGAATTCTTTAACAGGAACTTCTGGAACTTCCAGAAAAACAGTTTACAGGTAGAGGTAGAGTTCTTTATTAATAAAGAATAATTAAATTGTCCTCACTATGAAGGATACACTCTAACTCTTAGGAGAAATACAAGTCTTTCCCTGCCCCTACCTAGTCTCTTACACATGGAAGAGAAGTTTTGACATGTGTGTGAGAAAAATCATATCTTTAATGATACAAAATTGGGCTGCCTTAGTGGAGGACGTAGCTTTTAGTGAGAGAAGGGAATTTGCTATAAAGATCCCTTAAATAGAGCAAACACTTTTTGATATCTCTACCAATGAGAAAAGTAGTATTGTAACTTTTAAGAGCACGGAATCTGGGTTTGAAACTGAATTCTACCACTTAATTGTATAACCTTAGATACACCACTTGACTCAGCTTCCTCATCTGTAAATCTAGAAAATGAAGAAAATAAGTCCCGCCCTATAAGATATGTGGAGTCTAAAGGAGATAATGTATGTAAATCATTGATCATACTATCAATTGCATAGTAGGCACTTATAAGATGATAGTAACTATTGCTCTTAATGGTTATTATTAATATCTGGGTTCTCTCCATCTCTGGAGGCTGGCCAGTGAGATAGGCATGAGGCTGCCTCTTGCTCGGGATGCCTAATAGCCTTAGAGGGCCAAGCATGATCCCAGGGGGACTCATGGGAAGTAAGCAGGGAACAGACCCCTTGGCTTGGTCTCACCCAGGCATAGGGCCAAGGGGAGAGTAAGAGTCCATGAGACTCACACAGAATCCAGTCTGGAACACTAGGACAAGAAAGGAGAAGGGAGTGGGGGAGGTAGGCAAACCCCAACTAGAAATACAGAGCCTGGCTCCCCGGTGAATGCTCTCTGGTATATATCCTTTGGAAGTTTAGTACAGTCGTAAGTAGCTGATCAACGGTTTGGAAATTCGGTGTCCCATCTGGTGTCACCTTCTTTTATCCAACCAAGAAAGGAGAGGCATAATTGCTTGGAAGAAAGAATAATGAACTGAGTATCAGGAAAGCTAGACTCCTTTTCCAGACCTGCCTGCAACCAGGATGGAACTTCAGACAAGTTATTTTGCCCCTAAGCTTCAGTTTCCCTATTCAAAAATGCAGAATCACTAGATATTCCTTTCAGGCTCTAAAAGGTCATGAGTCTGTGAGTAAGCAGTGGTTCTTGGCTCTGGCTGAGAGAGGGAAATAAAGCTTCTCATCAGGGTTTGTTCTGTTTTGTTTTTATGTCCACCTCTCCCGGCTATTGTGTAAGCTTAGTACCTCCATTGACTTGGCCAGAAAAGAAGACCTGTTGAGCCTACCTAGAGCTCTAGCAAACTTCCTCATCAGTCTTTTCTAGGACCAAAGACGCTTAAGCCCCAAACCTGGAATTTGACAGAGAAAAAGATATAATAGCTAAAAGCTCATTTAGTCAAGTGCCTCCGGTGTGATAGCCACTCTACTACAACTTTACATCATTTATTTTATTTGATCCTCACAATAAATTGGATGCAGTCTTTATTTTAAAGATTCAGGAAGATTAGGTACTTTTGCGAAGATCACCAACCAACCAGTAAATGACTGACTTAAGATTTGAACCCAGATCCATCAAATTCAAAGCTCACTATTTGTCCTTAGTATCACACTGTAAATTTATAAAGAATATTCTAATATTTTTTCATCATCCCCCTTGTCTTCTCTGATCAAACATATTATGCTTAATTACATATATGAATTTTTAAAGCCATTTTAAACCAAAGTAGGCAGAAATTATAACTTATATTATGGGAAATTACATCATTAAGGAAAAATAATATACGCAAGTATGCATGAGGCCTAAAAATTGCCCAGTTGTTCATTAATTTTCTCATCAATTTATTCAAATGCTTTCTATGTGTCCTGGATTACTACTAATATTTTTTTAGCAAACAAAAATATTTATTAATTATAATTCTGTTTGTATTTGTCATCAGATATCATTTATGTGACATAAGTTTGCTGGGCATGTGCCATTATTAATTAAATGCTGATCGATTTATTTAACAAACCATTGATGACTATAAATTATGGTACTTTTGAATTTCTGATTTATAAACACACACACATATTATATACATTTATGTATGAAATTCAGGTAAGACATCACCAACAGAATTATGGGGCTTGAGGAAAATCTGCTACACCAGCATACTGCCGCTAACAAAATTTCATATGGTGGAAGCAGGTTCAGTGATCACCGAAGTGATTCATATCAGGAACTATGTCAGATGCTATGAGGAGCCCAAAGATAGATCAGACAGAGCCTGAGCTTGTAGGAAACACAAAATGCTATTAGAACACCATACATGTATGTAATTAACTAGAATAGAGCATGATAAATGCTATACTAGAAGTGAGTATGATATACTTTGAAAACCAGAATGAAAGAACAGTTGGGGAAGACAGATTTTGAGGCTGGTTAGGAAACACAATGGAAAAAATGGCATTTGCTCAGAATTTGAACATATGTGTAGAAGTGAATCAGGTAGACTTAGGGGCCAAGGGATGTGGGTTTAAACTAGGAAGAACTGGCAGCATTACCAACAGAAAACTAATGAGAAATTCTAGTTTCTTCTATTTAAATGTTTTCTAATTTGGGGTAGGGATATTTAACATTGTAATATCACTCTAAAATGATAATTTATGTATTTTAGGTGGTTATAATTTAGTGTCATCATTATTCCTTTCTGTGTGAGAATATCAGTTATAGAATCTCCAGAAGTTCATGAGACTTATTTTGTTATAATTTTCTATCTCATTCATTCCAGATTTGGGGATAGGATTTACCATTTTCCCATAACTTTCTTTTTTTCTTTTATATTTTTATGATAAGCTAAATTTTGTTTTTCAAAGAAAAAAAGGCATGAAAACAACATAAGGCCAACTACAGTTATAACTTCCACTTTAGATTTGTTGAAGGAAAGACAAAACCACAACAATGATTAAAAATTCAGTGAATTTATTTATCTGCCCCATAAGAAAACTGACACAGGTGAGCACCATTGCCAAGTGGTTCTCTGACAGATACCATTCGTGGTTTTCTATGTGCTAAGAAGGTAACGTTCACTGTGGTTATGCCAATTGATGACTGAAGTTTGTATCTTGGATAGGGCAGGATGAATTTTAAGTCCCTACACGGTTCCTTAAAACAAATCACACTGTTCATTGGTCAGGAAGGAGTCTTTAGTTAAGTCAAGTGAGGGTCTATCTTACTGGAGTCACTCATAATTCTGAGTCATTTGCCAGCTCTACAGTTCAGTTTTGCCATTTCCTAGGCAAGTCTGCTGCAGGTAGAAAGAAAGATCTTATACAGGTCTTCTACCACTTTTCTTAACTTTGTCATATGTTTGCATTGTTTAAACGAAGTTTTCAAATTGTGAGTGCTGTTTCTATGTAATGAAAGTAATGAGAAATGGCGGTGAGGACGGAGTAAATGCTTTGAGGCAAAGACACACAAATGGCCCCTCCAGAACCATTGCAGTTAGCTGCATGTGAGCCGTACACCTACTAGTAATTTTCAAAATCTGTGCGTTATTTGACCACAAAACCACAGCAATTACTATCATGTGAATTATGTGAATTCATATTTGGATCTTTAAAAAAAGACCCTGTATTTTCCGATGCAGTAAAATACTTTAAAAATAAATCATGTGGTACTGTCTAAAAATATATTCTTATGTCTTACAGACATATAAGTATATATTTATTACAGACACAAACATTTTGGTATTAGTGAATATAGTATTTTAGAACTCAAGTAAGGAACACTTGGGAGTAGCTAGTTAATATGCTTATCTTTTTGTTTAGAAGAAAGATCTTACTTATTTTGGATTCTTAGTGTCAGTTAGGTCTTTCATAAATTCTTGATGAATGTCATATCTTTAGCAGGGTTTAAAGCACCCTGGCATATAGTGGGCTCTCAAATATATATTAAACTATGTCAAAAATGTTTTAAACTCTCAAACATTTTTTATAAATCACATCAGATGCTGTGAAAACATTTTAATCTTTTTTTGTTTTTTCATATAACACCAATCTGGATGAAATTCTAAGGTCAATGAAAGCAAATGTTTGTTTAACAAATATTTATTGCCTTTTAAGAAGCGATAAACAAGGAGCAAAGGGGGGAAAAGTAAAACCAAACTAAGCCCTGTTCTCTTGCAGCTGTTTTAATTAATAACACTGGGCTGCCTATCCAAGCAGGAGTTTACTTTTATGGGGATTTAACCTAAAAGTGATTTATTATCTTGTTATCTAACCACAGTTTCACTCTTTCGAACATGATATGAAAGCTATTAAGCTCCCTTCCTATTTTTTCTTTTCCCCCTCCCCTATCATCTTCCTCTCCTCTCCATTTGATGAAAGAACACTAAGCTGGACAGCTGAGTCATTTTTATGTCCTTTTTAGGCTCTGTGATC